AGATAGGATGAGTATCAGTTATTTGCTTTTTATGGAAACAGAATTGAAACTGTGGTATATCACCTGGAAGTTCTTGCCAGTTGGCAAAATTCCATGGTCTGAATTGAAGGAAATGTTTTTTCCCCATTGCTTTGAAAAGGAACAAAACAGATAAAGTAAATTTTTTTTTTTTGAATGGGAGTCTTATTCTGTCGTCCAGGCTGGAGTGTATTAGTACGCTCACTGCCACCAAAGCCTCAACCTGCTGGGCTCAGGTGACCCACCTCAGCCTTCCAAGTAGCTGGAAGCACAGATGTGCACCACCACGTCTCGCTAATTTTTTTTATTTGTTGTAGAGACGAGCTCTCACCAAGTTGCCCAGGCTGGTCTCAAATCCTTGGACTCAGGCCATCCTCTCACCTCTGTCTCCCAAAGTGCTGGGGTTACAGGTGTGAGCCACTGTATCCGGCAGAAGTAAATTTTTTTAAAAATGAAAGATTTTTAGAAACATTTTCCCTTTGGATACACCATAACAAACTTAGAGTTGAAAGAAAATGAAAGCAGAGATTTGTTAAATAACTGAAAAATATTAGTAGCCAGACTATATTAGCAGCATTTGTTAAAAAATAAAAAAGACAACTCAACATAAAAATGGGCTAAAGATTATATGCAGAATAAGGAGCATTGGCCAATGAACATATGGAAAGATGCTTAACCTTACCATAATTCAGCAAAATGCAAATTAAAACCACAGTGAAATACCATTTTACATTCAACAGTGGCCAAAAATAAAAACTCTGATAATACCAACAATTAACAGGGATGTGGAGCAACATGAAATGCCATTTACTGAATCTTCTAGGAATGTTAATTGCCACCATCACTTTGAAAATAGCTTTGTATTACATGATAAAGTTGAATATAAACATACCCTTTTCCCAGTAGTTCCACTCCTATGTTTGTACCTTGGAGAAACTCTTAACACATGTGTACCAGGAAATAGGTAACAAGATTGTTTATAGCAGAGAAAGAGAGGAGGAAAGACTATAAGTAAAATGTTCATTTGCATGATAGAATACTGTACAGAGATGAAATTCAAAGAAGTATAGCTCTAAGCCTCAACTCAAAACAAAGGAAATGAAAAAAGAAAGTCAAGAAGGGTGCATATCATGTGACTCTATTAACATAATGTGCAAAAACAGGCAAAACTAAAACTGTTAAGGATATGGTCATTTAAGGGAAAACTCTAAAGCAGGGGTGTCCAACATTTTGGCTTCCCTGGGCTGCATGCATCTGGTAACCCTTGGTTTCCCTGGGCTGCGTCTAGTAAAGAGGAATTGTCTTGGTCTACACATAAATGATGTAATATAGTTAGTGTATATTCGTAATAAGACTTCTGTTATTTTATATATTTTTAGTTATAAAGTTTAGAAAATGAGAGCAATATAAAACTAGTGGGAAACTTGACCTTGTTTTTGTAAAACTAATCTATCAACATCTGGTTTGATGGAAGTAGTTGTAATTATTAGTGAGTTCTCAAGATGCTTGTCAGAAATGTTTGTTCGAATTTGCTCTGTGTGTGCTTCATAACTGAAAACAGCTGCTCACAAATGTATGTGCTGCCAAAAAATGATGTCATGTATAAGGTGTGATTGTAAACTTCAAAAATGGAATTACTATGCATGGGGTCATGAAGAGAATAAACGCTAAAAAACACATGATGTTAAAAGATTTTGTGGGGCCGCATTACTAGCTGTACTGGGCCACTTGTGGTTGGACGTGCCTGCTCTAAACAAAAGCAAGAGAATGGTTAATCCAAAATTCAGTCATGGCTACTTCTTTTGGTGGAGGAGATACAGCTAGAGAAGTAAATGTGATGGTACTAGTAATGTTCTCTCTCTTATACTGGGCAATGCTTTCACGGGTATTCATTTTATTATTCTTTAAGCAATACTATAAACACACTTTGTGTGACAGATTCTGCTTTGAGATTAGGAGGAGCAATTTATTAAATAAGCTATTTAGTCTCTCCAGGGAATGTCATGTTCCAGATTTACAGGCCGTGGGACACATACATTGCTTGCCTTTGCCCCTAATATCTCATTCCTATCATACTGTCTATTACAGAGCCCCATTTGTAGGATGACCATTGAATTTATGACCTATACTGGGATACTCTTATAAGTAAAGTGAGAGAATGCTCAAAATAATTAAACATATATATTTATTTTTTAAAAAGATGTATTAACTAAGAAGTTAGCTTGTATACTATAAATTTCAAAAATAAATTATATTAGACTGGGTATGGTAGCTCATGCCTATGGGAGGCACTTTGGGAGGCTGAGGCGAGACGATTGCTTGAGTGCAGGAGTTCAAGATAAGCCTGGCTCTCTACAGAAAAATTAAAATATAAAAAATTAGCCAGGTGTGGTGGCGCATGCCTGTAGTCCCACCTGCTTGGGAGGCTGAGCTGGGAGGATTACTTGAGCCCAGGAGTTCAAGGCTGTGGTGAGCCATAATTGTGTCACTGCACTCCAGCCTGGGCAACGGAGTGAGACCTCGACTCAACAAAATAAAAGACAAAGAAAAGAAAAGAAAACCCCCAAAATTTATATTAAAACTTATTTTAAAACTTTAAAAATATTAATTATCCAAACAATTTAAAAACTAGCACGAGCTAACTTATTCTTGGTACATATTCAGATACTTTTTATCAGTTTCTTGCCCTTAGCTTTCTGAAATACCATGACATTGGTATATTTATAAAAGGTATTTTTTTTTAAGTGGCCTTATTTTTTTTTTAATTTGTTTTTATTTATTTTAAAGACGTAGGACACAATTCAGGATTAGGTAGATAAGTGATCATCGTACAGGTAATGTTTGGGCCTCCCATTGGTTCCCACTTTGCCTGGTTTGAGATCAGTTACCCTTATTGATGTTATGTGCCTCCCTCCCTCCCCTGGCAGCGTCCTGCTACTACCAATCCCTTTCTTATAGTATTATGATAAATGTTCGGGGTTTGCTTATGAGTGAGAACATGTGGTACACAGTTTTTTGTTTCTGTGATAGATCACTGAGTATTACAACTCTAAATCCATCCAAGTTGCTGCGAAGTCTGTAATTTTGTCCCTTTTTTATGGCTGCGTAATATTTCATTGTGTACATGTACCAAATTTTTTTTTCTCCAGTCCATAAAGTAGCCTTATTTTTAATTTTTATCTCTTAAAATTGCCTGTGACCTTCTTTAAAATTTCATTTTATGGTTAATGTATTTGAAAGTGCTGATGCCTTCCATTGAATCTTCTTTACAGACTATTAAAGTTGGAAGTACAAAGTAGACATTCAACAAACTTAGAATGACAGTAATGATAATAATATGTTCAGAAAGAAAGAAAGAGAAAAATCCAGGATAACCAGTAAACCAGAAGAGGTGCCAGTAGAACAGGTGTAAGCCAGACCTGTCTTGGGCAGTTACACAAAATGCCTGCAATGTAATACCTGCATAAGCAAATTCTGTTCATTTGCTTGTTGTCAAGTTGCTAGCTGTCCGTCCTCCTGTAGTGAGTCTTCCTTTATAAATGTAGTTTGGACAGTTCCATTCATAGGAGATGGAAACATAAAAGGAACCCTAAAATGTTACTGGTTTGCAGAAGAAAATATATTAGTTAAAATATTAACTTGGGAAAACTTGGGGGGAAAGAGGAGGCAAAGGAAATACGTCAAACTTTGAATGACTGAGCATTTTGTAGCCAAGAACAATTTAGGCAAATCACTAAATCTAAGGATTATTTCTTATCCCTGTAGATGCTAGGTATATTTTGTGAGACATAAAATCCACATACATGGCCAGAATGTACAGAAATACTTGATTTCTTACTTCTTGTGCTATCTGTGACTTATGTATCCTTTTTCACAGAACAATCCTGCTGGATCAGCAGATAATTAGCTATTTTATGGATGCCAACCTCTGTGTCTCTTTACAGTCTCTATTAACCTACTTGTTGATTAACCTCATAGCTGTTTAGGATAGATCCATACAGTGAGGAAATTGCAGAGGTCCTTTTCTTAGACTCTGCTGATCAACCTTACCAATTGTGAGTGACATATCCCAGCATTATTTTGAGTATTTTACTGAAACATTTTCAGAATGCTATATTTTTTCCTCTAAAAACACCTTTTCAGAAAAGTATTTTCTTTCTTTTTTTTTTAATTGGAGTCTCACTCCATCACCCAGGCTATAGTGCAGTGGCACACTCACTGCCACCCCAGCGTTGACTTGCTAGGCTCTGGCGATACTTCCCCCTCAGCCTTCCAAGTAGCCGGAACTACAGGCATGTGCTACCATGCCCAGCCAATTTTTTTTTTATTGCAGAGACAAGGTCTCGCCAAGTTGCCTGGGCTGGTCTTAAACCCATGTGCTCAGGCAGTCCATTCACCTCAGCCTTCCAAAGTGCTGAATTACAGGCTGAACCACCGACCCCAGCCAGAAAAATGTTTTCAAATGCACCTTTTCAAAAAATATTTTTTTCCAGTGGCAAGAGGCCACTCCCCCTATGAGGACTGTATTGAGTTCCTAACGTATTAATATTGAGTCATAATATTCTCCTAGACAATTTACAGTAAAACAGATGTACCTTAAACATACTGAACTGAAACAAAGTACTTTGGTAAAATAATTTGAAAGTCATTGATAGAAAACCTTTTATTTTGGCATATATATGAATTTTTCCACCTAAAACTCAGTTATCAGAAATTCTTAATTCTATCAAGTAGTTGCCCTACTGGGTTTGGATTTTTTTTATTTCATCCTTTTCCTCTTTTTTTTTTTCCAGTTGATTTTTTTTTTCTTTTTCTCAGTAAAAGACAAAAGGTAAAGGCACAGACAAAGGTAGCCTGTGCTATACGATCAAAGGTTTTATGACACATGGTAATTACCTTTCACTTAACCTAGTATTAGGTCTAAGTAGGTGGGAATGACTTAATATTTAAATTTTTTTTTTGTTTGTTTCTTCTTTCCATAGCTTTAAGAAAAAGTAGGAATCACTTTTGACTCTACTGAATAGCAAAAATTAAGTGCACTGCAAATCATGGCACTGCCATTCCGGAAGGACTTTGAAAAGTACAAGGACCTTGATGAAGATGAGCTCCTTGGGAATCTTTCAGAGACGGAACTGAAACAACTGGAAACTGTTCTGGATGATCTTGACCCCGAGGTAGGTACAACAAATGAAGAGAAATGAGATAACTTTTCAAATCCTTTGAAACTAAGTAGCCGCCTTTGAACTTTGTCATGACTTTTTCCTGACACCCTCCACCCTCTTCTCTTTATCCAAATGAACTTGCTTTTTGCTTTCTCCCCTGTTCCCCCACTTCTGCTGCCAGTGTTTACTGACATGATTGTTCTAAACTTTCTTATCCAATATCTTTATTTTTAAACATCTCCTGAAAATTTTTTCCTCTAAGAGATCTTTTCCTCTGAGCAGGGAGGGATATTTTTAGTAAAGTGCAGCAGATGAGTAAGTTTGTAGTTATCTAAGTAGCCTCTTGGCAATACAGCAGTCCACTATAGAGCAGACCTGATTATGTATATATCTTTCAATTTGCAAAGTGGATGTTGCTTGTCTTATAAATTGTACAAGGCTATGGTAGAGATCCTTAATCTTTGAGTGGTTAGTCCCTCTTTGGCAGGGGGTAGGCAGTGTGGAGAGAACTGAAGGTAATAGTTATTTGCTTGGTTTATTTCTTTATGCCAGGACATTGATTTTAAGTGCCCTTTAAAGACTGAGATGGAGTTTGTTTTATAAAATTGTTCACGTTGCTGGGCAATGTGTCTGTACCATAGATAAAATCCCTTACCACAGTTACTATTATAAGGAAAAGTTCTCAGTGCACCTAAATCTGGGAGATTACTCAGAATAACAGTGCTGCTTTCCTCATATCATACCAAGATCTTACACAGACAGTTCAACCTATTAAAATCAAATGGAAAAAAAGTGTAAGAGTTCATCTAGTCCAGGATTTCTCAACCTTGACCCTACTGATATTTGCGGCTGGATAATTCTTTGTTGTGGAGGGCTGTCCTGTGCATAGGAAGGTGTTTAGCAGCATCCCTGGCCTTTGCTTACTACATACCAATAGCACATCCCCTTGTTTTAAAATGTACCCGGAATGTTGTTTTCATCAAGTATGATAATGGATAACAGACACCGAGACAACTGCCTTGAAAGAAGTATTATTACTGAGAGCTGATGAAGATGAGCTCCTTGGAAATCTATCAGAGTCACACCATGCCATGGAGAAACACACGGGAAAGCTCCCAGGCCAGTCAGGAGGCAGAAGGAGCAAGCATGGCTCAGAGCTTTTATTGTAGTTTCCATGCGAATGAACGGAGGAGACAGGATAGGAAAGTCTGAACAAGTATAGTACTAGATGGGGCTATGAAAATGTTCTCTAGTTGCCCAGTACCTGACCCTGGGGCAATTTAGGGCAGGGGAAATATTGGCTTGATATGTGAGTTAGATAAAAAAGAAGTGGTTGTGGGGTGGGATCGAATGAAAGGTGTGCTCTTGGTGGGGGTGGGTAGTGGGAAGTAGTGCTATCTCTAGAAATTAGCTAGCCCTGGAGGGGCAGTCTCTCTATATTAGCAAGGTCCCAAAATGTCAAACCTTCATAAAATTCAGGAAATAACGAACATGAGTAATACTCTTTTCTCCCAGTTGTGACAACCAAAAATGTCTCCAGACATTGCCACTGGGGGGCCAAAAAATGCCCCCAATTGAGAAACTAGACTGACCTAGTCCTGCCTCTATTTTAAAGATATAAAATAAAAGTTAGGTGACTTGCCTCTGTTACTACACTTAGGGGAAGAACTGAGACTAGATCCCTCACTGCTTGACAGATGCCTGACAGAGTCTAGTGGTCTTTCTGTTAAACCACAATGAGTCTCCTCATAACTCTTGCACTATGGTATCCGTCAAAAATCTTCTTTTTTTCTTATTTGCAAACCCATGGCCTGCTTCTTGTTTGAGGAAGTTTGAATTCTAACCTCTGAATATATTTTGCAAACTCCCCAACTCCAATAGCAGCTTCCCCACCCTCACATACTATTAGTTGAGTCTAACATACTGTCTAAATTAACAGTACGTTTATTGTCAGCATGCCATTTGTTGGGTGAAGTGTTTTTGGAAAGAGTTCCAGTAAAGTGCCAGGTAAGAAAAGGGGGTAAGGGTAATAGCAGCTACTTCAGCCAGAGAAACACCACTGTAACTTAGTCTCAAAAGGTAGAATAAGAGCAGATGAAGGCGAATGTTGTTGTATTTTGGAGGGTTCTTTTACTGTCTTGCTGCGGCATTCAGTGTATTGGTTGTTAGTTCACTACATTTTTGCAAAACATCTGTCTCCAAAAGACAGCTAACCTAGCAAAAGGTATTTTTTTTTCATTTTCAAGACTGGAAATATATTATGACAACACAAAGTAGACAGCAAGGGAGAAACATGTCATTTTTAGTGACAATATATTGATGAATTTTTTTTTTTGAGTCTGAGTCTCACTCCATCACCCAGACCAGAATACAGTGGCACACTCACAGCCACTCCAGTGTCAACCTGCTGGACTCCGATGATCCTTCTGCCTCATCCTTCCAGGTGTGCGCTACCATGCCTGGCTAATTTTTTAATTTACCGTAGAGACAAGGTCTCGCCAAGTTGCCCAGGCTGGTCTCAAACCGGCGGGCTCAGGCAATCTACTCTCCTTGGCCTCCCAACGTGCTGGGATTACAGACTGAGCCACTGAGCCTGGCCAATGGAATTTTTAAATCTATTTGTTAAGTAATTATGATCTATTAGCTTAAAACTTGATTATAAATGATATTGATTCATGAGTTTATAGCCTTTAACTAGTTAGTTGTCATTTAATTTGTAGTCAGTGGGCATGGTGGTTCATGCCTATAATCCTAGCATTTTGGAAGGTGGAGGCAAGAGGATTGCCTGAGCCCAGGGGTTCAAGACTAGCCTGGGCAACTTAGTGAGACCTCATCTCTACAGTAAATCAAAAAATTAGCCAGGCGTGGTAGCACGCGCCTTTAGTTCCAGGTACTTGGAAGGTTGAGGCGGAAGGATTGCCTAAGCCCAGCCGGTTGAAACTGTGGTAGCCATGAGCATGCCACTGCATTCCAGCCAGGGCAACAGAGTAAGACTCCGACTCAAAAAAAACCCAGGAACAATCTGTGTAGTCACAGTCTGTATTTAAGGAGCCAAGATTCCAGTTAACATGTTTAAAATTGTGTTTCACATGGACTTTAGCAGGCAGGTAGAATAGTGCAACTCCATGACCACCACCATGAAATGGCAATATATATGTGTGCGGGTGTGACTGATGGAGAAGAAAGGTAACTTTTTATTAATTTGCCTTAAGAGCACTTTTTTTTTTCTTTTTTTGTTGAGTCAGAGTCTCACTTTGTCATCCACGCTGGAGTGCAGTGGCACACTCACGGCTACCACAACCTTGACCTGCTGGGTCCAGGCAATCCTTGCACCTCAGCCTTCTAAGTAGCTGGAACTACAAGCGTGTGTCACCATGCCTGGCTAATTTTTTATTTATTGTAGAGACAAGGTCGTGCCAAGTTGTCCAGGCTGGTCTACAACCCCTTGAGCTCAGGCAGTCCTCTTGCCTCCGCCTCGCAAAGTTCTGGAATTACAAGCGTGAGTCACTGTGCTGGCTAGGAGTACTTTTCTTTAAAAATATTCTAAAATCTTTATTCAGTAAATATTTGTGGGGCAACCTGTGGATCCCAGGTATACAAGAGTGACAAAACAAACATGGTCTTTGCCTCATGATGCAGGCTGGTAGGAATGGAAGTGGTTTGGCATTAATCAGATAATCATACCATACTCAAAGAATGGTAGGGCTGGGCACAGTGGCTCACACTATAATCCCAGCACTTTGGAAGGCTGAAGTGGGAGAATTGCTTGAGTCCAGGAGTTCAAGACCACCCTGGGCAACATAGTGAGATCTGTTCTCCCCCAAAAATATAAAAATTAGCTAGGCGACTGGGCTCAGTGGCTCATCCTGTAATCCCAGCACTTTGGGAGGCCGAGGTGAGTAGACTGCCTAAGCCCGCAGGTTCGAGACCAGCCCAGACAACTTAGTGAGACCTTGTCTCTACAATTAAAAAAAAAAATTAGCTGGGCATGGTAGCACACGCCTGTAGTTCCAGCTACTTGGAAGGCTGAGACGGAAGGATCACC